CCTTGTTTCCTTTTATGTATATATATAAAAGCATAGAACTATATCATTGACCTTTCTACATTTCCATCAAGAATTGGAGTTGAATGAGAAGATTGGAGTTTTTCAATTACTTGAACTTTTCTAGGCTAAAGTGGATATGGTTTTGGTGAAATTGAAATCTGGTATTATTTTAATAGTGATTTTTGGGTTGATATTGGGAGACTAGTTGGAATCAAATGAAGATTTGGAGTCTATATAAGTTATTGTTATTATTATTATTTTAAGTTATTTTGGATTTATTTACTATTCTAATGTTGTTAGAATGTGGACATCGTTAGCAAGATTTTTATGATGTTTGGAGAAACAAAAATTATTATAGAGAATAATTTCAACCTTTTGATATCAGTCTAAGACGATTTAATCAACTAGATTGGCTTATGAGGAGATGGATTTCGTTGAATTTAATTGAGGGGTTGTGCTAGTGGGAGTATGATTTTAGGATATAAAATGTTTCATTGATGGATTTGTAAACAATTGAGTTTAGTTAATTATAATTACATGATTTGAACATCTTAGACATGGAATTGGAATGGTTTCTGGTGTTGCCTTTACGTTTTGTAAGTTTAGACTATATGTCTAAGTTTGGGTGGTTCATAGCTATTGGAAAAAAAAAAAAAAAAGAGGTTATGTTATGAATTTATTGGAGAGAAAGGTATGAGAATGATTGAATAATTGGAGAATGGACTAGGAACATAGAACTTATCAATGAGGTTGGTTTAAAATTTTACCCAAATGTGTTTCCTTATTGATAAAGGAGAAGGTGATTTTATTTCATAAGAATATGTTGAATTAAGTAGATTCAAGGTAAGGAAGTACAACTAGAATCTTAAATTTATTACGATAGTAGGTGTCTTTGTAGTTTAAGAATGGTTTAAATTATGATGAATGGTTATGAGATTTGAGAAAGGTAAGGAGCAGTCTTGAGGAGATGTACCATAGTGTACTATAAAGTACATATACAATGGAGTTTGGGGATGTGAGATGGTTAATATTAGCAATTATAACAATTGTCCTTTGGGAAATGCTAATCAAGGTGTTGTACTTAGAAGTTTAAAAACTTAAATGCATTCAGCATTAAAAGAGAAATATGTAAGATATTAAAGCTTGTGTTTCTTTTAATCATTTTAGTGATGAGGGGTAAATTAATTTATTGATTCTAGTGGATTATCTTTGTGTGAAGGAGTTTATTTATGATATTAATATATTCTTATCATGGGTTGTAATGGTTAATTTTGGGGAGAGTATTACCCATACGAATTGTCTTATATTTGATGGTTCTTCTACAAGAATGTTTTAGGTTAAAGATGAAAGATATGGATTTATAATGGAAGTATATTTTGTAGAAGTGTTATGTTGGTCTCACGCTATATTGTGAAGATACCCATAGTCATCCAAGGTTTGAATAGGGAAACTTATGGATTTGTTTAGTGGTCTAAGCAAATGATGTTAATAACTAATTTCCTTTAAAAGGGTGATGGTTGGTAAGGAAGGATGTTTTGTCATTAAAAGATTAAACAAATTCTTGAGGATTTAATTTGTAAGAAATTATCATATGGGTATTCTTCTTTTTGAGTGATTATGAGGTTTTAACTTTCCTCAATTGATAGTAAAATTGGAATTAGCATTGAGGACATCGGATTTTGCATTGGTATTGGAGTTATGATTATTAAATTTCTATGTTATAATTCTAGTATTATGGAATAAAAGAGTTTTAATATCTTGGAACAAAGAGAACAAGGTCATTTGTGTGCATAGAATTGAGATTATATATTAGGTGAATTTTGATGTCATACATATATAAATCCTGTGGATTTGAAAAGGATTGAAACGATGATTTATTAGAAGAAATCTAAAGTGCTATGGAAGTTTTATGGATGTTTATTTAGTTGGACATTGTACAAGATTTTTTTGAAAAAAATATATATCACACATGATTTGGAGTTAGAGCAAAATGATGGTTTGTTTTTTTTAATATTGAGGAAATACCTATACAGTGGAAGACTAGGAAAATTTTTACTAATTTTAAGAGTAAGTCTCTCTTGTTGGATAGACGTGAATATGAGACATAAACATAGTAATTAGACTTTTGAAGGATTATGATAAGATCATTGCTTGTTATCTTAGTAAGGTTAACAAGGTTGCAAATTCTTTGAGTAGGAAGTTCTTGTATAGTTTACCCTATTTGGTTACTAAAAGTTGTTTTGAGGGGATTAGATAAATATGAAAGTTAGATTATGAGTGTGGTTGGGTAAATTCTTAACTGATTGTAAGTGTAGCTTAGTCAATAAAGAACATTAGAACTGCACATGTAGAATAATGATTTGCTCGATGAAGGAAACTAGTTGGAGACATGATTTAAAATGGTGCTTATTGAGAATTATGATAATAATTCATTCAAGGATGGTGAATTTGGTTGTCATTAATAGGTTGATTAAGTTTGCTGATTTTCTTCACATCAATATTGGTATGTCACTAGATAGATTGGTAGAGTAATATGATAAGGAAATAGGAAGGATTATTGTATTGATCACTTAGTTTATCTTGTGATTTAAGGAATGAATGAAAAAGGTTTAGTGAAATTGAGGTTTGAGGTTTGAGGTTTAAAATTATGATGAATTATTTCTCTGAATAGTGGTAAATGATTTTGGTTGATTTATGACTTATCAAAGTTTAGAAATTGTGATAATTAATTGGAGCGTGATTAATTTAAGTTGTTATGCAAAGATTAATTTCTGGTACCCATAAGGTCTTATGATTGATTGATGAGTTATTCATGAAAAGCTAGAAAACCATGAGACTGCCTTTACTTTAGGAGGATGATTGAAGAGGAAATTATAAAGAAGGCATGGCATAACTCTTGTGAAGTTGTAGTAGGGTACCCATAACAAGAAGGGAAACAACGTAAAAGTTGGATGAGGAATGAGGAAATGAAAAAGAAACATATGGAGTGGTTCATAAACATGTTGAGAGCTTGTGTTTTAGATTTGAAAGGTGCTTGGGATGAACATTTGCCTTTAGTTGAGTTTACCTACAATAATAGTTATCGGGCAAGTGTCCAGATGATGCCTTGTGAGGCTTTATATGGCAGGAAATGTAGGTCTCCAATATGTTGGGATCATGTGGGAGAAAGAAGAATGTTAAGACTGGAACTTGTTCAACAGACCATAAAGAAGATATAACTAATTAAAGAATGTGTTTGTATAGCTCAAAGTAGGCAAAAGAGTTATGTTGATAATCAAAGGAGTGATTTAGAATTTCAAGTGGGAGAAAAGGTTTTCTTGAAAGTTTCACCAACTAAAGGAGTCATGAGATCTGGGATTTGAGGAAAACTTAGTCAGTTCATTGGTCCTTTTGAGATTTTGGAAAGAGTTGGAGAGGTAACATATAGATTAGCACTGCCACCTAATTTGTCGGAAGTTCATAATGTTTTCCATGTCTCTATGTTAAGGAAATATGTTTCGGACCCTAACCATGTAATTGAGCATTCTCCACTTCAACTTAAAGAGGATTTGTCTTACAAGGAGCATCCAGTTCATATTGTGGATAGAAAGGAACAGGTGCTAAGAAGATGAATAATTCCTTATGTTAAGATTCAATGGAGTAATCATATTGAACATGAAGCCACGTGGGAGTTAGAGAAGGATGCGAGGAAGAAGTACCCATACGTATTTGTCGATGCAAGTACGAGTTTAAGGACTAAACTCTTTTAAGGGAGAGAGGATGTAATACCCAAGGATTTCTTACTTTAGATTTAAATAAATTATTTAAGCTCTTAAAGGGTGTATATGTGATAGAATTAAATTTGGGGTTGAAATTATAATGATGTAAGGAACTCAGGGACTAG